TGTCTGTGTGTCTGTGTGTGTGTGTGTCTGTCTCTGTCTGTGTGTGTGTGTGTGTGTTCACAGATCAGACCCAGACGACAGCAAAACCTCCTTCACAGACGTAGCCTCCTGGGCTGACAAATATCTGGACAGTGGCGTCTGCGTCCACATGGGGGCAGCAGAGATGTCAGTCAGTGATTATGACAGTGACCACAGCAGAGAATCAGTGACTGTTCTCAACAGTTACTCCAGTCTTCATTCCGAAGCGGAGGTCGGAACTTCGTTAAACATTTTCATCAAGTTTAGTTTGTCCATGAAAGATTTTTTTTAGAAGATTAAATATTTAGAAATTTGAAAAAAAGTGATGTAGAGAGATTTGTAGTTTTTTTTATTACCAGAAATTGTATTTTTTTTTTTTTTTTTACAAAAGTCGTCTTTGATTTTTTTTTTAAAAAAATTAAAAAAAAAAAGGAAAGGAAAGGAAAGGAAAAAAAAACTTTGGGTTTTTACAATTTTTTTTTAGAATTTTTTTTAGAAAAAATTGTTTTGAAAATCTTTAGAAAAAATTCTTCAGAAAACTGTAGAAAAACTTTTTTGGGTAAAAAATGTTTCAAAATATTTTCTAAAAATTAAAAAAAAAATTCTAAAAATTAAAAAAATATTTCCATTTACCCAAAAAAGTTTTTTTTTGTTTGTAAAAAGGGTTTCAAAATGTTTTCACAAATTTTTCCCAAGAATTTTTGCCTCTTTTGGCCTTTTCTTTTTTTCATTTTCATTTTTTTTATCATAACAAATTTCTATCACTTTTCATTTCTAACACAGAATGTCAGTGTTTTTCAAACTGCTTTTTTATCCTTTATTTTGGGCTAACCTTTAGCTGTGTTCTTCCTTACTCCTACTTACTTCCTTACTGAATTTTTAAACTTGTTCAATATACTTATATTATTGGTTAGCTTTTTGCCTCTTTTTCTTTATTATAAACCTTAATTTAATGTTTCTTCCTAATAGATCTCAGATATTAAATCAGAAGCCGCGGCGTCTGTGGCTCCCAGCACGACCAGCTCCGTGGCTTCATCGCTGAGAAGACGGTTGTCTGTGTTTTCATCCAAGGTTAAACTTTTCAGTCTTCTCTCCAAAACTGTGTAACGTTGACATGACCAGTATACACTAACAGTATATTTCTTATGTACGTGTATAACTTTTCCATGTTCTTTGCCTCAGCCTGTGGAAGCAGACGTAGACGAGTCCAGTGGTCCTGCTCCCATGTATCGTCTAGTTCTGGCTGGAGACGCCGGAGCAGGAAAGTCCAGCTTCATGCTGAGACTGACGCTGAACGAGTTTAAAGGAGACATTCAGACCACACTGGGTAAGTCATGCACCACACACACATTTACTGTAAAAAACAAACACACAAAAACACCTTGAAGTTTTTTTTTCTCATTGTTTCAGGAGTTGATTTCCAGATAAAGCGGATGGTGGTAGAGGGACAGAAGACGAGTCTGCAGATATGGGACACAGCTGGACAGGAAAGGTACAGAATAAGACTTGTCTGCGTTTTATGTTACGTCATTTATTACAAAAAAGAGTGAACGTTTTACAAGGAAATAGTCCCAGGTATTGAACATTTTTATGAATTACTTATGCTTAAAACGTCCTATGTTAGTAAGTAATCCCCCCGCCCCAAAAAAAAAAAAGAAAAAATACAACACTTGGTGGAGATGTAGACAATTTATATCAGTCAAAAAATATTTCTTTCAAAACACCATGACCAAAAAATTATGAAAACAAAAAGGCTTATAGTTACACTGGTATTTCCAGTAAATGTAATAATCTACTAAAACAGTGTTGTTGTTTTTTTTTACCGTGTCAAAGATTTTAGAAAACTCTAAATAGATTTTTTTTTATAAAAACATAACATTAAAAAGTCCCCAAACAACCTCAAATGACAATAATGTCCCTGGAAACATGCACCCAGATATCTAATATGTTTTAAAAATACCATTAAAAATTTTATTTTGTGTCAAAAGTTGACCAACTAAAAAAATGGAAAATACAAAAGTATCGGAAAAATGAATAAGAATGCACAAATTTGCCATAAAATATATAAATGTTCTTTTATATGGTTTAAAATTCAGAAAAATATACTTTTTTGTCAACCATTGTTCACAGTAATGTATTATCCTAGTAGGTTCCAGAAAAGTCTTAAAAAAGATTTAAAAAATGAATAAAAATGCACTAATTTACTTTAATATGTAGCCGGTGATACCGAGAAATCTTAAGTCAGTTATTGTGATCAGCTATGAACCTGTATCACTACGGGCGGAAGTGTGCGTGATAACAGCCAATCAGAGTCGACCCTTTTGCTACGCCACTTCTGTTGCCGGAAGTTTGAAGTTTGGAATAGTTGAACAGTTCCCCGGTATGAGCTAACCCGGAGCTGAGTGCAGCGAAACTGATGTTAGCCATGAGTTGGAGTTGTCGTTCAGAAATGGGACCATTACTGAGAAGAAAAGTTACTCCACGTCGTTTGTGTGGCGATAGGAAGGATATCTCGATATATCTAAAGTTACGTGTAGCGATTTGGGACAATGCGCTCGGTGTGTCGGCGATCGGTTTCCTTCGAAAACCAGCAACACAACAACTCGGTTTTTTGAAAAAGGACCAACCATGTGATTATGCGGAAAGCTTGGAGAATTGAGCGGAGTCTGTCGCTGCTGCTGCGGAATTCGGCCCAAAGCACGTTAGCGGCTAAACCCCTGCTAGCAGCTTAGCCGCTGCTAGCGTACGAGCAACATTCCAAGAGGAGTTTACTAAACAAGCTAAACTCAGCGGAGAAAGATGGATTTATCCATTTGAACCAAAGTGCTGGACCCGAGGTAGGAAATCCCCGTCAGAAGTTGTTGTTGTTCCCAAACTGCAGTGCCAGATAATGCATGTGGAGGAAAGCTGGAGACGGGTCCTCAAGATGTTAAATGCTCTATGTTTATTTTAATCGCTTTATTTGCTTAATGTTAATATGTCGGGTTTACTGTTGTAAGCATTGACCATTAGCAGTGTAGTTTGTTTGCAAAAGACATTTAAATCTAAATATTTACCGCTGCTAGTTTTTATATCAATATATTGCGTTGTGTTACATTTCAGTTATAAACCAGCTCATCTGTGTTGTTAAAGATTTGCAAGTAGCAGTGATGTTAACGCTGTGCGGCATCATAACTTTAAATGCTAATGTTTAAATTTGAGGTTATTTCCATCATTTCAGAGGGTCATACTTGTAACAACACGACTGTAAACTAATGTGTTCGTCTTTTTATTTACTTCGTTTAAATAAAATGTTGAATTAATTCCTAGTTTACCTTTCAATGCCTGTACTCAAACCCAGAACAGATGTGAAAAAATATATTGATATTATTTGTCATAACACCTAGCCCTTATAGATGTACTGGAAAAGTATGTTTTTTTCTAATTTTTAAATATATAAAAGGATTTTTTTATGGCAAATAAGTGCATTTTAATTCATTTTATTACAATTTTTTTTGGAAAATCCTAATTTTGAGTGTCATATTGGTCAGATGGTTAAGAATTATGATGAAAATTAAAAAAAGAAAAATCAAAAGATTTTCTGTTTCTCATTTAATTACAGCATTTTGATCAAAAAACATTTTAAAACGAAAATTTTTTTCGAAATAATTTTTTTTAAAAAATTACAGCATTTTGATAAAAAAAAAAATTTAAAACGAAAAACAATTTTTTTCGAAATAATTTTTTTTAAAAATTTTAATCAAAATATATTTTGTTTTTTAGAAAACTTTCAAAAAAATTTTTTTTAAATTAATTTTAATTAAGATTAATTAAAACGTTGTAAAAACGTTTTGAAAATGTTTTTTAAAAAAATTAAAAAACCTTTTTAAAAAACTTTAAAAAAAAATTTTCAAAAAATTTTCCAAAAAAAAAAAATTCGAAAAAAAATCATTTTCAGAAAAAAAAAATTTTTTTTTTTCTAAAACAAAAAAAAAATTTTTCAAGAAAAAAAAAACTTTTTCGAAAAGAAAAAAGATTTTCCGAAAAAAAAAATTTTTTTTTTGAAAAAAAAAAA